CACACACACACACACACACACACACACACGGCACCTCCCGCCACGGCGCGAGTTCGTGACGGGACCCCAAGTGATGCGGCGGTAGTACGGCGGGTGAGGCGAGCCCACTTCCACGCTGAGGCCGACCGTGGGCTCGGCGGGGAAAACCCAACGCAACTTGCGTTTAAGACGGGCGGGGAAGGGGGAGAGGGGGGAGGGGGAGCAACTGCACGACAGAGGCGGGGGAGGACCACCACTCCAGTAGTAGCACCAGAGACAGCCACCCAGCCCCAGTCGACAAGTGGGAAAACAAACGATTTCAGACGGGCATTAATCTCTGGATCATTTTCTGAAGAGCACTACTTTTCCTGCAGGTGTGGGACGGAAGAGGGCTGCGCGGGGACGCGACACGTGAGTGGTTTCTGGTCCTGGTCACCTGCAAGCATCTCCTGCTTGTAACAAGCTTTATAATTGGCGCGTAAAAGGCCGAGGTCGGGTGGGAGGGGTGGGGGGGGGGGAGTGAGTCCGGTGACGTCCGCACGACGGCGTCCTGTTTTCAATTAGTTGCTGAAATTAAGACGCACTCAAGTTTCTGGAGTATGGCGTGACCACTATGTGATCACACTGGTAGGGGCTCCATTGTGCCGAGTCGGCGCGGACCTATTGGGCCTATCCGGGTTGCCTATCGTTGCGCCGGCCCGTGCGGCGGGGTCTTCTGGATAGCCGTGGATCGACGGCTCTACTACCGCCTGCTTCCCCGTGATACGTGGAAGCAATAAAACGATTCGCTGTTTGATTTACGCCGGTTCGATATCAGAAGCACAGGTGGCCGACAACGCCATCAAACGAGCCCGCGAGAGGAGTCGTGCGCACCTGGAGCCTGGCTGGAGAGGACCCCGCCTCGTTCAGGCGTTTACAATCCCCGGTTCAAGCGCGGAAAACCGGTCCCTGCGCGACGACGGAGCGTCTTCTCGTTTTCACTCTAGCACGGACGGTGGTAGGTCCAATTGCATGAGACGATCGATGCAAAAAATATCTAAGTACAAAGCAAAACCCACACCGGAAACCCAAACACAGTTGTTGGCGTGTGAATCCCCATTTGCACACTTGTTGTGTGAATTCACATTGGCACACTTGTACAAGTAAAGGTGAGAATGTTCCTGAGAATTTTGCACACCCACGCAATTGTACGAATAAAAAATTCACACGCCTACAAGTGCGCGGCAGGCGGTATAGTCCCACACTTGTGACTTGTAACCATATTTTCCCGTTCGCGGCGCAGTTTTGCCCCAAAGGAAAGTTCAACCACCCGCTCGTCTCGAATCAGCTCTTTCCCCACGGATGAGCGCAATCACGACACAGATCTTCAGTTCACACGCTCATGGCGAAAACCCAACGGGTCTGTGTAGTTAAACCGTGCGCAGCATGCATGCATGCATGGGTTGCTTGCGTCTCACTATTTTAGCTAAAATTGAGTGTTTTGATGGCGGAAAATAAACGAGTCTCAAATTTTAACATATTCAGGATTCCACATTAGGATAATATGGGGGAATTAGATGTGTTCATATGAGTTGGCAGTCGCGCAAGCACGGTATGGAAAATAAAGCGCTCAGCTAGACGAGCGGCGGGCGTCCGATAATTTACATTAAGTCATCTGATTCGCACCCATATTATCCTCGTGTTGAATCCTAAACATGTTAAAAATTCGACACTCATCTATTTTCCGTCATCAAAACACCCAATTTCAGCTAAAATAGTGAGCCGCAAGCAACCCATGCATGCATGCATGCGCACCGGTTTTACTACACAGACCCGTCGAGACATATACACGATACTTCGTGCACACCGGTGCACTCGGCGGCGTGGGTGAGGCTGCACTCAAACAGATGGGTTGCTTACCATTTTCGTAGAGAGTTGGGGGCCGTTTGTTTGGTCGACTGTGCGCGACTGACCCACGCTCACTGGGTGCTCACCGGGGGAAAGGTTGGTCGAGACTGAGCCGGTCGGGGCACGGCGAGCCTTATATAAGGGAAGGCCCCGGCGGCCGGCGGGGAACGGGGTGGCGGGCGGTGGGGTGGCGGCCGGCGGGGTGGGGGCGGCCGAGCTCTGGCGAGAGGGGCGGACGGGGAGGGCGGCGTCTGGCTGGGGGCGGGAAGAAGTTCGCTCCACAAGGGCGGGTATTTCCCAGTAAGATTTTGGCGTTTAAATGCCTTATCAGTGACAAGGTGGGTGACCGCGATTGTCGCGGAGTGGTTAAAGTGATCACGGGGTTCGGCCCAATAACAAGCTCACTGAATGGTAGGGGGACAATATTTTGTCGCACGAAATGTTATTGCGGTTTTATGAGGAACACTTTTTGAGTACTTAGTCGAGATAAGTAGATGAACATTTTTGACAAATTGTCATATCAGTGTTCAATGTGAACCCGTTGTACCAGGTGGCTGATTAACCCCGCGCACTTCTGTAGTTAGACTGTACCGCACGCACGAGTGCGGTTGGGTTGCCTACTCGCCCGGCGCGTAAGGCGCCGTGCACTGTTAGAAATTTCCACGGAATTTTGAACGGAATTGTCAAGAAATTTTTTTCACGGAATGTACCGTAATTTTTCCGTATTTTCTACGGACACCATACGGAAAACCCGTATTCTTAAGTTACGGATAAACCGTAAGCTTTTCCGTAAAATTTTGACTTATTGATTAGGAAAAATAATAAATTTCATTGTAAGTCGAAGAATTGGATTTTGAGAGATACGAGAGCGTAAAGTTCGAGGTAAAGTTATGGTTTTGCGAAAGAGGCAATAACATAAATCTCTATGGACAGCTCAATTGTTTAAACTATTTGTTTCTAAAATTATTTAATATTTAATTTGACGGGGAAAATGTACGGGATGCACCGTTATTTGAAATACGGACAAGTCCGTATCTTTAAATTACAGTCATCCCGTTACGGTTTGGTACCGTATTTGGAATTTACGGTGAGTTCCGTAAGAATTCCGTAATTAGCCTACGGAATTTCTAACAGTGTGGACAGGGGCGATAGGCAAGCCCGCCCGCACTCCTGCGTGCGGTACAGTCTAACTACAGAAGTGCGCGGAGTTAATCAGCCACTTGGTATCTTTGATTACGCTCCAGTGTTGCGGGGTCGTCCGTAAGGCGCCTTGGCCCATGCAGCCCTTGGGAGGGAGTATGCAATCCCGCAACACTGGAGCACAGTCACAGATACGCTCGGTACATAAACTGATTGTGCTTGAAAGAAAGTCGACAAGAGCTAAATAACTCGCTGTTTTTAAAAGCGATGAACGTGACCACCGGGCAGTAAAAGCAGCGGGCAGCAGGCAATAAAGTAACGCTCCCCTGCACGTTCATGACACCATCTTCCAATTCAAAATGTTAATCATTGAGTAAAAGCCACCATGGGTAGTTTGGTTGTGGAGCTCGCTCGTGAGTGCCCCAGTCAGAAAATTTTCCTACGATGTCTTTTCGACATCGGTTTTCACGTCGTTAGCACGATACTACTACAGTGGGAATAGAATCGACGGTTTTTCGACGTCGTTTGTCGAAAAGCCGTCGATTCCAGCACCACTATGTATCGCAAACGACGTGAAAACCGATGTCGAAACGATATCGTCGAAAAAAATTCTGACTGGGGCTCCTGCACTTTTTTGGTGTTTTGCTTTGCACCGCACCACTGACAAGAACAGTATAATATTCTGGGTCGAATGTCCCGCAAGACAGTGGCTTAGTGGCTTAGTGGCCCCTTTTCTCCCCACAGATACCAGTATCAAAAGCAGGGATGGAAAATCGGAATTCAATTAATCGAAACGGAGCGATACTGTGGATAGTTTCGTTATCGGAACCATTCCAAGAAACAAAACGAAATGGAACGGAACTATGCAAAGACCAAAACCTCGCCAAAACCTCAGGAGACAAAACTGAAAAAAGACTCCCAGGAGTAAAACTGCTTTTCGATTCAATCATTTTTGTTCGTGGGAGTAAAACATAGTTCCGTTCTTTTGTTGACGTCACAGGAAGAACAAAACGTTTCGCGCCTTCAGTGATAGTGCTTACTGCCAACTGTGGCGCGCGCGTGTGTGTGAGTGTGCAACTGCGTGCGCGCACTCGACGGCAACACGCACGCCACGCATCTATGCACGCACGCGACACGCACGCAGATGCGCAGTGGATGTGTGTGTGCGTGCGTGCGTTCATGCGCGTGTGTGTTAGGGAGAGGGAAGAGTATCGTGACAGTGCACTGACGGCCCTCTGCTCTTGTGCACCGGCAAGTGACCAAGGAACAAAACGTTTTGATCCTCTAGTTACGCGGCCAAGAAGGAGTGAACTTACTATTGGAAAGTTTGTCGGTTTTGTTCCGTTCTGAACGAAACGAAACTGAAAGAGTGAAACGTTTTGTTCCGAACGAAAAGGAGTAAAACCAATAATCTAATTCTGATTTTCCATCCCTGGAACCAAAAGAAATGGAGAACGGAAGTGTTACCCGGACAGCTCAACCACACAAGTGTGCAGTGCAAGTCTGTACGAGCTCAATCACCCTCCAATTCACTAGACTTCCACGCAAAGCTGACAAGTTTGCCATTTCCGCCGGTTTGCCGTACTGTTTACGATCACAAGGGACTCACACAGGTGGTTTCGGAGTCCCGGGTGACTCAGGCGCCAAGGACGCGCCGCGGTGCACGGCCGGTCAGGCGCGGCGTACTGTTGTCATCGGCCATGTGCTGGGGGACTCATTTCTTTGTCTCGATATGCACTCTGCGAGCAAAACGTCTCGGAAGTACCGGGTGTAACTGTGAACACGCAGCAGTGTTGCGGGTTTGCCAACTCTTTACACCCGTAAGGGGCTACGGCCCCCGCGGCCATATTGAGTATGCAATCGCGCAACACGGCTGCGCATTCACTGTTACACCCGGTACGTAGGCCTAAGACGGCCAAAAATCGCGTACACGGCACTCGTGCTGCATCCGGGCCTGTTGTAGAGATACCCCCTCCCCGGCCCCACGTCTCCTTCCTGTCGACATTCTGCACTAAAAAAAAGCACGGTATCATGTTGGAAGTGTTGGGTGGACGACGCGGGGGGCGGAGGCAGCGCGCAAATACCGCGTGATTCGGATGCAGAGTTTAGTAACTTTATCCGACCAAAAGTAAACACGTGGCATTTACTTTCGCGGTTGGACACCCTAATCTTCGTGCGGTGAATGGGGGTCGATCGATCGATGACCGGTGACTTCGCGCGCGCCTCGCGCACACGCCCAGCCGGGGGAGGGAAGACCACTGGCGGACAGACTCGTCGGTGGCCGGGAAAACCATAGGAAAAGCCTACGGACGGCACAAGGAGTGCGGAGTAATGAGATTGAAGCGATATTGTTTCTGTGTCTGCGATGATGAATTGCCAGAATTATGGCCACTTTTCAACATAAGACCCCTAGGCTGTCATCGCAGCTCTCGCACCTGGACCGCTTCGAGAGAGGGCTCGCGGGCCAGGATCAGCCAGGATCACTTCCAGGAGCTCCCCCACCTGGGTGGTGCGTGCGGGTGCGGGTCCAGTCTCAAGACGTTTCTCACGACATTATACGTTATACGTGGTCTTTTAAAGCCGTGTCCGAGGCTGGGTCGCATTAGCTGCTGTTCCCCAATCAACGCGGGTCTGGTCTTTCCCTCCAAAATGGAGAGGCGGAGCTGCGCTGAAATACCCCCACCGGGTGATTGGGAAACCTAAAAGAACAATCTCACCTGCTCTGCT